AGAATAAACAGATAATCATAGACTAAATACTGAAAATACAGTGGAGTTTTCTAAATGTGATTACAGTGGCTTTTTCCTCTCAGTTACTAATATCAGTTGTACACATAAAACATTTTTTTAAATGCTCTATAGGATAAACAGCCATAACCTAATTCTGATTACAATTTCCCATTCAATCATGAAGGAGACCTTCAAACTCACTTGCCTGAGGCACTGAGAAGCTCCAGGTCTTTGACGCTCATGAAAGAAAGATAACAATCACTCTTCAGGGGAGAGAGATTTTATTATACATACCCCGTGGGTTTTTTTTATCCTTTATCAAACTGCACCTTTGTGGGCCTTTAATTTCTTAATGGGTTGTTTATCCTTTCCCCCATAATTCATGATGATAAGCTAGATGTCACAAAGATATTGTTATGGTGATGAAAAAGTTGTTCTGATGAGCTGAGTCAGTGATGTAGTTTGATTAACTTTTTATATAAATCTTTCTAGACAGCTTTCAAAAGAAGGTCAAACAAGTCAGTTGACATTGTAACAAATTTTTCAGTAGGTGAAAATCCATCTGATGCAGACCTATACAAATACCTGAAATAAGTAAAGAGAACCAGGAGGAGATATTGATAGCATAAATTTCATTTCATCATAACATATAAGGTGCATGCTGGGCCACTTTTGTATGTAATGCATGTAGAATTGTAGGGGGATCCAGTATGAGTAAATGAAGGTGGTATAGAATGTAATCTTATCCCTTAAAAAGTTGCAGCTGAACCAATTATTAAGATTAGGAGCAGGCCTGATGTTAACAGGCCACACCTGTAGCCAATAAGAACAGTGTTATAAAAGAGTGGATTGGTGGGATCTGGAGTCAGGTGGCTGCTGCAAGGACCAGGAAGAGTCAGTGCTTAGAGGAGCTGCCTATGAGAAACATTGAGGGGGTACAAAACTCTGGTGGTATGGAACCTTTGCATCGAACTCTAGATGTATAAGGCAACATAGAATATAGAGCTTACAATGGTATGATATAAAGACTTAAGAGTGTGACTTTTGCAAAGATGTATTATTTACAATTCCAACATTCATGACTAAGTTTATTAGGTGCTCTCAGGCTAATGCCAAGAAAATCTCCGTACACTGATTGCTACCTGGTAGCACGCTCAGTGTTGGCCCCCTCCTGTTCCCGGGTTTTGTATTTTTAACAATTTGGCTTTTCCTCCTTTTTTTTCTCCATGCTTTTCACCATGATACTTTAGTTTTCACCAAGCCTCTCCCTCTTCCCTCCCTTCTAAAGTGAAGGACTGGGGACACTTCAGGTTTGAGGCATTTTTGTGTAGTAAACAGGTGGACAAGTAACAGGAAAATCAGAACTACCAGGGACCAGAGATGAACAGGTAGGCAAGAATCAAAACACTTTTTTTTAATCAGTAGTATTCAAGTATTCAGTAGTATCCAGATATGTCCTGGTAAGTTTTGGGCATTGCCACATTTAAGCACAGCAATTTGTTTTCCATGTAACCATTGCAGGTGCACAAACGTATTTCCTAAGAGTATCAACTACTCATAGTGATCAATACATTGCACTTTTTGCCTCGCTAGGTTGCATTTTTGAATATGCCTATGTCTGAAATCAATTTTTTGTCAAACAAATTAATTCTTCACACAGTTTTTGCAAGGAGCATCTACTATAAAATATTGTCATTCCTTGGACATTATCATTGCTTACAGAATTGGGAGAAAACCCACTCTAATGATTGGAACAAAAAAAGTGCTAGCAACTGTATTTTTTTTTCTATGGACTGACATCCTTTCTCTTCAGGACTTGCAGGCTAAACATTTCTAGGCAAATTAAATTGGTGCTAGAACACAGCATTGTAATAGGAGTTGGTTTCATCCTTAACCACAGAAAGGCTACTGCCTCTTCATATTACTATAGAGATGTAGACTGCCTTTGATTCTCTGCTAAAGAGTGTTCTCTCTATCTTACATATTGTTTGGCATGCAGGATCCTTTGAACACATCTCCATAAAAAAAATTCTTACTTTGCTTCCAAGTAAAATGAATTATATATGTTTAACACAGGAGATGTAGCCATGGCGTAAATGTCTGCTTGTGAAGTACTCCAGATATCATTCCAGAATATTAAGAGTAATTTTAAATCTGCTGGTTTATCTTTTCTGTTTTTACAAGTTTTCTTTGTAAGTTTATGTACAGGATAAAAATAATTGTGTCATTCAAGTGTTTAATCCAAAAAGCCAAATGATAATAAGTCAAATGCTTTCCTGAAATCAAATTAAATTACATCAATAAGCAAAACCTGCAGCCTCATTAAGACAGCAAAGTCTGATTGCCAGGATATAAAGATTTTTTAGCAGTGATTGGAAATGTCTTTGTTCTTTGAAATTATTTGTTAACTGAGTTAACAATATAGTCTGTTCTGTATTTTGCCTGATCAACGTCACACTGGTAAACTATTATTATCCCATTTATTCTTTTAAGGTACTAGAACAATACTTTTAAGGAGGCTTCACCCTCCTTAAAAAAGTCTTAGTATTTCAAGAACTTCTGAATATGAACATTGATAGACATGTTCATTCCAAAAGCTTTAATGGCAGTTTTCTTTCAGTAACTGAACCATTCTCCCTCATCTTTGAATAGAAAACAACTCTTCAACATATTTAACATCATGTTTACATCAGCTGCCATCTTCCCAAATGACAGAACTAGTATGTATATCTTTAACATTTGAAGTTTGTCACTGATTAAGGTTTAAGCTCTCATCTTTGGGTCTTAATAAGGTCTTCTTGCTATTCAGATAATTTTCTGTATTCTATACTTGCAAAACCCCCCCAATTTCCTCATTTTAACTCAGTTGACCATATATATATTTCCCTCATAACCTTTTACCTGCCACAGCAATTTTCTACAATTCCTACCTTTCAGTGTACATGAATGGCACCATACTCTTTCTCCAGTTTTGCAGATGTTTGCCTTGCAAACCACCCTGGCTTCTCAGTGAACATATTCCTTAGTTGTGGCATTCTGGCTGAATGGGTATCTGCACTACCACCCTTAAACCACTTCCAATTATTATTCTCTCACTTCAGATTAAATTTCTTCTCCCAACAGACCTACCTTATAATAATATTCACCTTTATAAAATTAGCACTTCCAAAGGATTAAGTATATGTGTTATTGGCTTGGACTTAATTCTGTTTGCACATATCAAATGTGATCAAATCATTATCAGTTATACCTAAGCTATGGCTAATTTTTAGTTCTGTGATCAATTCCTTTTCATCTGACAAGATGAGGTCTAATATAAAATTCCTCTGTGTTGGATGCAACATTTTTTGAGTTAGGAAATTGACATTTAAAATATTTTCAAATTCCAAGTATGTTTTAACACTGGCAGCATGAGGCTTTCAGCATATGTCACAGCCTGAAATTCACTCAGTCCAGCAGTGCTTTCCCTATGTGTTGTAGGTGGGTAAGGCATAGGTCATGCTGTTCTCTAGTGTGATTTGATATCAGCTAAGTACCCTGTCAGCTTCTGACTTATCCACTAGAACATTGACCCATAAACATGCAAGATCCTTTGTTTTCGATTGCCATCAACTCAGAAACAGGTAATGACATTTTTTAAGTGCTTTCTGTCCACTTGATCCTTCCAAAATAGATTATAGCAATTGATTCTGACATTCCTGTTTTCCAAACAGTTGTAGCAATAAAAACTAGGTCAAATCTGTACTAAAAAAAAATGATCTCCTGCCAGTGTCAAGTTTCCAACATGAAAAGAGAAGTCACCGAAAAAATCTCTGCTCTTTATATTCTGTAACATCCCAATTGGGTTTCTCTTACAGTTTTCATTTGCACGTAGCAAAAGCTCATTGATTCCTTCTCAATATTTCCATTTCTGACCAGCCCCCAGACAGCCAAGCAGGCCAGCCCCTTAGAACAGCTCCTTTGTGACAGTATGTGTATCTTTAACATTAAATTTAAATTAAGAAGCAAACCCTCGTCAACAGAAAGTGAGGACATTTTCCACAAACCAAATGCCTTCATGTTGTCACTTACTCAAGAGATTCAGTCTAATTTTTTTTTTCTACTTGCTCTTTCCCTTACTCAGAAGTCCTAAGGACTTCAGGAAGGTTCAGAGGTCCTGAAAGGATGGAATCATCAAAGATGATTCAGGGACTGGAGCATTGGTCTTACAAGTAAAGGCTGAGGGAGCTGAGCCTGTCCAGGCTTGAGATGACTGGGGGGGGACCTCATGAAGGACAGTCAGTATCTGTAGGAGGGATGCCAAGAGGATGGACCAGGCTCTGCTTGGTGCTCTGCTGAGCAATAGGACAAGAGGCAACAGCAGAAACTGATACACAGGAAGTTCCACCTGAATATGAGGAAGAATTTCTTTACTGTGCAGTGACCACACACTGGAACTGATAGTCCAGAGAGATTGTGGCCTCCCTCCCTGAGATATTCATGGACCATCTGAGCACAGTCCAGTCCCATGTGCCCCTGGGACAACGCTGCTTAAGCAGGGAGGTAGGACCAGATGAATGACCCACTGTGTTCCCTTCCAACCCTAACCATTCTGTGATTCTGTGAAAGAAGAAAACCTGCTCGCTGCAGGTGACCCTTCAGCATCTGAGAGACTGCCCTCACTTCCCTACCTGTCCGTACGATCCTGGCTCTTTGCTTGCCAGCTTCAGGAACTCGCTCAGCTTTGAGGGACGCTCCCGTTTGAGGCAGCTGGTTCGGAGCCCACCTGGAAAGGGCACCAACACCTCGGGCCGTGCCGATTCCTCACAGCCCCTGCGCTTTCCAGGGTCTAACCCGGCTTCAGCACCTCCCCGAGCCCGCTGGGAAGGGGTGGGACGGTCCGTGAGGGCTCCGGGAGCCCGGCCCTCAGCGCCGCCCGGCCCCGTCGCCATGGCGAGGCCGCGGCGTCCCGTGAAGGGCCGGGCCGGGCCGGCGGAGAGAGCTCGTCCTGCGGCCGCGCCATGAGCCCAGGTGTGTCCGCCGGGGAGCTCCGGCCGATGGGGGTACATTTTATCGGTACCGGAGCCAAGGGCCGGGGTGTGTAGCGGGACAGGTGAAGGCACACGCTGAGGTGTCCCTGGGCGGTGGTTGGTGACAGCCAGGCAGCGGCGGATGGCGGCTGAATTCCCAGCGCCGCAGGGACGGAGGGCATTGAGGGTACGGGCCAGGCTGAGGCCGTGACCGCGTCCGGGTCACTTGGAACAAATAGCGTCTATCACGCTGGCTTTAGATTTCAAAAATGTATTGCCCGTTTTTATTTTTTTTATCAATTTACAATATTACTTTCAGTGTAGTAAAGCTGCGTGCCAGTAAGTCTGTCCTGTCACTTTCTGATGTCCCTTTATCTTACGAGCTGCCAATAGCAGCAGATATGCCCACAAAGGCAGCCGTGTGGTGTATCCATCCCTACTTCCTCTCCTCCTTCCCGGGGAGGGAAATCCTCAGCCTCCAGTTAATACCTCCGAAAATGTGTAGGAAGAGCAAAGGGGCAGCCAGCTGGTTTCCCAAAAGGTACTGGGAAAGGCACCACTGCTATCAGCTGGTGTTTTACCTTCGGCTTCAGTGCACCTTGGAGCAATTACATCCATGGGGAGATTCCCTCCATTGTGGGATTAAGTGAAGCACTTCTTTAGAAACAAACTGCACCACCTCGTAGAAACCACCACTGCACACCTGAACTCTGTGGGTGTTTGATGAAGTAAATGATTAGTGGCTCAGACTTTATCATAAAGGAGCAAGATGTAAAGTGGTCTTTAAATGACCAGCAATGAAATTTACAAGACTGAAAAAGCATGGGTTACAGAAGGATGTAGTGCCTTCTGTCATGTGTCTGTGGTTGTAATTTACCTGTAAGAATTAGTTACCTTGGAATTGAGAGAAATAAGAGAAATACACCTTCCATTTCACTCTGAAAGCAATCTCCCACATCTAAAGTAAAAGTTGCTTCATTATTATGAAGCAGCTTGGGGTTTTTTTTCCTCTCCCAAGCTTTGAGTTTGAAATAGGAGCCAGGGCAGTATTTTAGTCCTTGTGAGGCAGAAACATGCTAAGAAAATGTCTGCATATGTGCCTCATGTGACACCTGTGTGCCTGATAGCCTCTTTTCTGTGAGTTGGGAACATGGAGCATGTGAGCCAGCAAGGACTCGTTGTGTGCTCCAGCCAGGTGCTTTGCGGCAGTCCCCAAATGAGAGCTCCCTATCAATAGCTTTCCATTGTTGCAGTGGCTCTCTGGGGGTCTTCTTGCAGCTGCTTCCCCCGCTTTTCTGCCCCATAGCTGCAGTCAGCCCCTCTGGCTTGCCAAATTCCTCAGCCTCCACTAGGGCATGGCTGTGTTCATTTTCCCACCTAATACCTCACAACAAAGAAGCTTGTAAAAAGCTTTTCATCTTCTCTGGGCTTCAATATTGTTGTTTCAAAGTCCAATTACTATTTCTCACTGAATAGCATCTTCCTAAAAAGGGGTTTTCCTTTCTATATAGTTTTTGTATACAAACCTGTCATTCTCTGTGAGAAGTGTAATCTTTTATAGTTATGAATTACCCATATGTTTTTTGTTCTATTGATTTTTTTTCTTTTCTAGGACACACTTCTGTTAAATTTTGCTGCCTCTAAATGCAGACCAGTTTATCTATAAATAATATCTATTTTCTTTCTGTAAAAAATGGTGTCATTAGTACAAGGCCCCAAAAGAATGACTTAGGAGAAATATGCTATCCTGTCATCCTTTCAAACTATAATTCTCCTTATTATTCAGTTCTCAGTAGCACAATTAAAAAATACTTCAGTATAACCACAGCAAAATACTGCATCAATGAAATGGCTTTTGATCCCAGAAAGGCTAATATATAAACTATCTGCTAATCTGATGCTGATCATTCAGTAACAAATTCATTCATATCTAATACCTATTTCCTAAAAAATAAATTCCCTTTCACTAAATGTAGCAAATAGTTAAATTCTCTTCCCCCTCTTATTATATTCTGTTTTTCCATCCCTATTAAAAGTTTATGCCTTCAGGCCTACCAGCAGGGCATGCAATACCTACATTAAACCAAATTTAAAAGTAAGGGTGCTCCTGCTGCTAACGTCCTCAGATCACAGACATGCAAAATGAAGGAACTGGCAGCTGAAACTTTAATGGTAGGAAGTGTAGACTGAATACTTGGGGAAAAAACACAGTAGCTCTATATGACAAAAAAGTCCTATTAGCATTTATGTACTTCAAGATGACAAGCCAGACGATTCTAAATAACTGTGAGGCTTTTGGCTTTTGTTGTAAGTGAAGCCCTGTGTTGTAAGTATAGCATTACTTGCATTTTCTTTTCCTTCAAAAGCTTGTTTCTAGTATGATTATGTAGGATTTTGAACATTAACACAGTGCCTGTCGTTGCTTTGCACCCTTTATATTCCATCATCTGTCCATGTTGTGTATTAACTTATTATCACTACTTGGACCTAGATAACTTGAGGAAGTAAATGAGATAGCTCAGGGGAATCCCATGCAGGTATTGGTTCCTGTAGGGGGATCCAGTATGGGTAAATGAAGGTGGTATAGAATGTAATCTTATCCCTTAAAGAGTTGCAGCTGAACCAGATCAGGAGCAGGCCTGATGTTAACAGGCCACACCTGTAGCCAATAAGAACAGTGTTATAAAAGAGTGGATTGGTGGGGTCTGGAGTCAGATGGCTGCTGCAAGGACCAGGAAGAGTCAGTGCTTAGAGGAGCTGCCTATGAGAAACGTCCAGGAGGCATGAAGCTCGGGTGGTATGGAATCCTTGCACCATAATGATAATGCAACTCTTGATATATAAGACAACGCCTTTGCATAGAACTCTTGATATATAAGACAAGAGGTTCCTGAATCAGCTGTCCCTATGGAAATCACAAGCACCTCAGTGAAAGAAGTGAGAAATCCATGGAAAGTTAAATGAACATTCCTTTGTGCTATGTCCTACTGAAGTAGTGCTGCGATTTGTGTGGCACTGGAGTTGGGTTTTAATGCACTGGAAAAAAACAGAGAGTGGCCTGGGAAGCAGCACAAGAAGGAAAAGAAACCACATTGCTGTGAAGGGGTTGTTTCAAGTAATGTTGGTTTTGTTTGTTTGTTTTGTTTGTTTTAGTGCAAATGAAGGTGTTGCCTCAAGCAGTCCTCCAAAGCCCAGGGGAACATCCCAAGTTCATAGAGCAGCCTCTTTGCCCCCCATTAGAGTTTGCAAGGTAGGTACCACTTCTCTTTCAAAGCATCGTTTTTGCTGTGAACAGCTTCAATCAGCTGTGCCAGGGTGACAAATCGTGTTTACTCTTTTGCAATATTTAAAACTACAGAAATCGTAGGCAAGGAAATTCTCTCTTAGGAAAGTCCCACAATTATAAGAAAAAAAAAAATGGGTCTCTTGGATTAAAATGGATTTCTTGTTAACAACTGAGTGATTTAAAATTAAATAGGAGCCAGCTTACAGGTGGAGCAAACTCTTTTTTTACACTTTATGAAGTACTGTGAGTCATTATGAAAACACAAGAGAAAAAAGGATAAAGTAACTTGAAAAAGGCAAGTGACAACCTCTGGAAGAAAAGAAATGGTGTATTTTAGCAAATGCCATCCTCATCTCAATTCTGTAAAAAGAAATAATGTCCATTCCAAGTCACAGTCTCTTTTCTTCACATTGATTAATTAATTAATTTTAATGTTTTTAATTCTCATTGCGTATAGGAAGCCATAATGATTTTCTTGAGTTCATGGAATTTCCTAGTGTATTTTTTCCTAAGTATCACCTGCCCATGTTTTCTGTGTTATTGCTACACTAGCATCATCCATAATAATAGCCTGGGTGAGATGAGTATTTGTTATTTATACATTTGTAGTTGCATCAGTCCAATACAGATTATTACAGAACTTCTGTTATACAGCAATTAGTTTGCAAATTTTTGCTTATTTTTTTTTCCCTTGACTGTAGTTTTCTTTAAGTTTGAGGGTATTACCAATCAGAAGTCAGAAATTCATACTTTGGCTATAAGGCAGGTGGCATTTTAAATTGTATATGATTCTAAGGGCTTTCCCTCTGATTTTTTAAAATGTATTTATTAAGATACCTTTGTAAAGACAATGGAAAGGCATCAGGCCTTCCTTTGTTTCATTTTGAGATGCTTTTCAACTGCAGTGCTCTTTAATTGTAGTAAGCTGATAGGAATTTGCCTGCTGTAGTTCACTGTTTCTGTTTGGGGATTTTGACTTTCTCTCCCTTCTTCCAAAGATCTTCCTAAATTTTTATTATTCTGGTCTGAAAATTTTGATATTGAAAACCTTTTGGTGTTGATTATAAGTGAATGTTCATGGTAATATCAATAAGGTGTACATCAGCAGCAACTCCTGTGGACTGTGCAGCCTTGAAGCACAAGCCTCTGCTGGTGCCACTCAGCAGCAGCAAATTCTGGAACAAATTTAAAGGCACCATTTGTGAGAGAAGTTTTCACTGTTACATTGTTTTAAATACAGATATGTCAAAATAGCTCTGCTTTGCTTAGCTATTTTGTTTTCATTTAAATGAACTTTGTGAAGTGTCTTCGGGATTCTTGGAGCAATAAGGAGTGTGATGCTTATAATAGCTAACATTATGAAAAGAGTTTACTCTCATCACTGTAATGAAAGACAGCACTGTAATACAGACAGAGAAAGAGCAAAGTAATGGATTTATGTGGAACACTAATGCTGAATTTCTTTTATCTTTGAGTGATTAACCAGACAATCTTTGTGCTCTTTCTCAGAAGGATAAAAATAAATTCACATTACTTTTATAAAGATAACATCCTCTACAGTTGGGATATCAGATTCTATTTATATAAACCTTATGGTCAGTAAGTGCATATTACCCTTTCCAGGCATCTCGTGTGTATCAGAGTGGAGATGCAAAGATATGGAAGTGAAAGGTGAAATGATGCACAGTTCAAATTTTAAACCTACATCCATGCATCCTGAAATTTGCTCTTTATTTTGATGACCTTCAAATTATCCCCTCAGTGGAGCACCTTTTGCACTATGCTACTCAAACTGTGGAAAGCCAGGAGCAATATTAAAAGATTGCATTGCACCAAGGAAAACATTTTGAGTTGGATTTGGGAAGTCTTTTCTTGATTTGCCTTTGTTTTTAATTTTGGAGAAGCTAAATATGAAATAGATTGTACCACTCTGGTCCGTACTCATAATACAAAAATGTAACAGTTCTGATTTAGGAAACAGTTTAAATATGGATAGCTTAATCAATTATTACTGATTTAGCTAATACACAATTTCTTTTAGTTTAGACAGAAATATCAGATAACCAGATCCCCTGAAAGCTTATATCACCTCTGTTTTCTTTCAGAAATGAAGATTTGAACTAACTACAGACCAAAAAATTAAAAAGATATTTGTATGCGCTTATAGAATGTCTGATATATTACTTTGTCAATATTTCAGTGTTTAGCTCTACTTGGTGATGATAATATATTATACATGGTGCAGAAGTCTATGCTAGCACCTTACAGTGTTTCTTTTAATTTTTTTCATTTAAATTTAGGATTCATTTGATCAAAGACAAAGATGCCATAGATGATTATTTGGCAAAGAATATCAAAGGGGTGTCAACACAAGAAGCTGCTGCGTAAGTTGGCTTTTTCAAGGCATTTTAACATCCATAAGTTTATTGTTTCCTTTGTTTCTAGTCATCATAGTAATTTAAATTTAAAGTTCCCTAGGCCCTACCCTTTTTAGTGGAACTTGGCATTTAAAAATTGAAGTTGATATTAAATAATGATGTTTCATTTCTCCTGATGTTAAATATATCAAAGCATTTATCTCCTTGGTTTTACTAATTTGTATATTTACCAATTAGATCAGATTTGTAACATTTTTGTTAAGATTGTGTCAGTAATTATATTGTGCTGCCTTTTTTTTTCTTTTCCCTTTTTTTTTTCTGAGCCTTTGTGAAATATCTCCTTTGGGGTGGGAGCTGAGTGTACCGACATACACATTCTTGTAATTTTGAATTACTATTTAGCCAAGCCCAAGTGCTGACTTCTGTAGTGAAGCATTTAATACCCCATTAGTTATTTAAAAACCCAGTGAATGAAAGAAATCTAGATAACTTTTGATTTCTTACAGCTGAGGTATTTACATTCAGGAGTTACAAGAGACTATGACTGACTTATTCTTCTGGAGTATTTTAACAGATCTGGGGTTCAGCACCATCAAAATTAATGAGAGAATTCTAACAAACTGGATTGCTGGTTGCTTAAGTGAGCTGATTTATTTATTTCAATATTTAAATAATAAAAGGATGCATATACAAGGGCTCTAGGCACCTTAACAATGAATATTGCAAGATCACCCTTGCAGCATAAAAACATTCTATCAGTCAGGCAGGAATTCCACCAGCTAGTTTCTTGCAAAATATGCTTCTTTTCTCCTTCCTAGCCTAAGAATGTGCCTGCAAAGCTTCCCTAAAAACTTCCACGTTGAAATCTAGGAAATTACTGCAAGTATCAGAGCTCAGGGAGCAAACACAGAAGTGAGCACCTTCCCTTACTGTTCCCCTGGTTCCACACCAGCTGTGAAACTGGCTGCTCTGCTCATTACACTCCAACAATTGTCACAGGCTGAGGTGACTTCCCAGGGAGCTGTTTCAGCTCTCAGTCCCAGTGGATTTCCACCCCATGCCAGGATCACAAGTGTTCTCCCTGAGGTGATTACACAGGAAGTCACTGCTATTTTAGGAAGGCCTTGAAGCTTCAAAGTGCATTTTACAAACAAAAAAACAATGCAAAAAATCCTCCTAAATGATGTTTTTATATCCAAACCCTGAGTCTGAACATTGTGGCAAAGGAAGCCAGTGAGGACATCCACAATGAAGTAAGAATTTTATCATCTGTTCTGCAATACCTACACAAAGTGGAGTTCCCTTACAGTTTTGTAAGAGGCTGTTTCTCCAAAGTTACCAATGCCTCTTAGAAGATTAAACTGAAATATCATATGTATTCTGGTGTATTTCTGTGGAGATTTTTTAAGTACCTACCTTAAAAGGTTGCATTCATGTTCTGTGCATTTAATTCTCTTAGAATTTTAGCTTTTGATAATAAATCAGCAGTTACAAAATTTCTCTATGTATAATTTACTAATGTTCTTCCATAACCTTGATAAAATCACTTGAGCGCGACCAAATGGTAGCAAACTAACTACACAGTTACATTAGTATTATGTTAATCTAGTTAGAAAAAACTAAATGCATCAAATGTAATCTAAAACAAATTTATAAAGTAAGGCAATGTCATGTGTATAAATGCTCTTACTGAAATCTGTGTAATGCTTGGTATGTCTCAGCAGGCAACGGTATTATTATTTTAAAAATAAGAGAGATGGCTTGTAATATGCTGTGTAGTTTTTCAATATTTTTTCCATTCCAGAAGCAGATTATTATACTTCTTTATAAAAGGACTGAATTTCCTTCCTCTGACATATAAATATCTGTACTTTTGTTTAATATTGAGGTTAACTTTATATGCCAGTGATTATTGCACCAAGACAAATTCTTGTAGCCACACTTCTGCTTAATATTAAACACCATTTTTTTAAGTGTACATTGGGCAAACAAAAAATTTATTACCTTCTAAATAAAGGAGTATATAGGTAGTATCACATTTATGGAAAAAAGCAATATTCTTTAAAACTTCCCCCTAAAATCCTATCCTTCACAATATTCCTTAAAATTGAGATGAACTATTGAAGAAAAAAGGTTGCAGTTATTCTTGTATTGTAAAATACTGTCCTATGTTCCAAACTTCAGCAAAAGGGAAGAATTCCATTAAGTGTCTTCATGACATAATCTCTTTTTTTCCTGTGGAAAAATGAAATGTTTTTAATTCTTTTTCTTTGTAATAATTTTTTGTCCCAGGTTGATATGATAGTCAAGGGAGGAAAAATAGTGCTTAAGAAAGATAGTACTTTAATTATATTAAAACAGGATATTGCTTTGTTTTTTCATTGATTTTGTTTTGCTTCCTTCTCAAAGACTTAAACTTGAAATAAGAAGTAAATGTGGTGCAAGGATCTGGAAATTGAAAAAAAAGTAAAAGTTCATTAGTGCAGAATGCGAGTGCTTTCTTGCCACAGAAGCAGATTTTTGTATGCAGAGGTTGGCTGACTCCTGTGGCCTTCAGCGTGTTTTCCTTGATATCTTCTGTTCTTAGTCCTGACTCACCTAGTCATTAACAGCTCAAAATCAAATTGCAGTAAAAATTAAGAATAGTTCATATGACTGAACTAAGAGTCAAGAAGTTCATGATGAACTGTGAAGCATTTTTCATCAAGATTTCAGGATTGAATCTTTGGATTAGTTTAGAGCCTAAAATGGGCCAGAATTTGATATTGTCATTCTTGTTTCCTGACCTTTTTGTCAGGGCCAGAAAGATCAAGTAACAGTTCTCTCCTCTTCATACAAATTAAGATTGTTGAAAGAGGAGCACGTCATCAAAAAAGAGTTGAAGACTAGAAAGAGAAACTTTGAAATGTATTTGATTAGAGGAGCAGCTTTGCTTAGCTGTAACTAAAAAAATAATTACTTCAGTGATGTTACTACATGTATTTTAAATACATTTGAGTTGGATGATGGAGTTCTACGGTCCTCAAGGCTTTGGTGGTCAAAAGAAATCCAAATTGTTATACAGAGATGGTGAAAGCTTACCTAGCTATGCAGAAAATTTGTATTTGTGTTTTCTGTCTCATGAGTGGTGGATCAGTGTGTTATGGAAAGGTGGCTTGATAAATCTGTGTCAGTAAAGACAGGCTGTGAGATGAATTTTTTCAGGCGGGAGACAACACTCTTTTATACACATTCTGTCAGATGTTTTTGAGATACAGTGGGCTGTTCTGCTTAGAATTCTCCAATGGCTGGCCCACTTTAGGATTAGCTGAAACAGAAAAAGGCAAAGGCTTTAATTCTCAGGTGTTCTGTGTCCTCCAGAGCAGTTATTTGCCATCTCTGCCAGTACTAGGAAGGTGGATCGTTAAACTATTTTTCAGATTGTTGGCTGCAAAATGAAACATAAAATTTCTGCTCTAGCAGTGAGGAGTGATGAATATAGTGAAGCATAGCTTCTGCAAACTCCCTGCAAAAAGAGCAGAGGGACTTTCACCCAAGCTTGACTGATTCAAGTTAATAACCCCAGCCTTGTGATTAGTTGAGCCCCATCTTTCAGGATCCAGACAAGTGCTTTAGAACAAGGTGAATTAGACTTTCGAAGCACCTGTTTCTCTCCATTGCTTATGGAGAGATCATAGGGTGATGAGCTCAGACATCATTTACCACTCAATCCCATGCTGCAGAACTATAGAATTTTGAAAGCTGTAAAAAGGATGAGGTAGAGGTCTTAGAGATTGATTCCTGAGGCAACATTTTTACAGGAAGCTGTCAACTGCAGAACAGAAGTGACCTGCCATCCATTTTAAAACTTCTGTTGGTGGCGTCTGAAACAAAATTATTTTTCCATTCTTCAGTCAGAGACAAATTATTTACTACTCTCCCCAAGTTTCTGCTCTTTTCAGTGTCAGCATCAGCTAAGTGGGAAAGATGTGGGAAAATTTGTGAGGGATTAAGTGTTAGAGGAGTTTGTGGAAATAAATTATTTCTTTCCTACATCCATACGTCTTCTACCAGTTCTTTCTGAATACTCAGCCCTATCTGTCCTCCAGGACTAAAGAGGGAGAAACTTCCTCACCTGACTAGAGGCCAGGATGATCTGGAGAGTTCACTGAGGGAGAAAAATGGGATTTGTGGGCTGATGGAGAGGAGACCTACTATGAAGGTTTCTTCTGTATTTTCATCATAGCCATGATGGACTAGTAAGCCTTAGTTTTAGACTGGGATTTTTCTGACCTTGTCCTTTGTTTGTAATTTATTTCAATAGTGAGAGTTGTTTCAGCACTCAGTTTTTGATTTATTTGCTTCTTTATCTGTCTGTATTCTATGCATTGAAGGAGCAGTGCTTTAAGGAAGCTGAACAGAAATAGCTGATTGGGGATTTGATTAACCCATACTTTTAGTAGCTGCCACCTCTACCACCGTATAAATTAATACGGTGACTTCTTAGGTTATTCAAAAAATAGATAGGGCCCTTTTTTCATTGACATCATATTGCCGTGTTGTCTTTTTCACTACCTGAAATTTTTACTGAGGCTTCCCAATTTGAAGGGGCTTGGTCTAGGCACAGGGGTTTTATGTTGTAGGGTAGTTTGACCATTTCTCTGTTCGTAAATGAGGCTCTTGAGGAAGAGAAGAGAAGCACTACCAGAAAAATGGTGAGGAAAATTTCTTGTTGGTATGGGATTCAGGCAAGGAAGCACAAGCTGCATCTGCTATTACTAGAAAGCTTGCAAAAGGCAATTTGGGATGCAGACAAATAATGTGTAGGAGCAGATTCTGCTTTTCCCTTGTATTTCAGTCCTTGATTGGACAGTATTTGGTTCCAGTCCTGCACTGCTGTGAGCTGCTTCCATTTCTTCTGTGTACAGCGCTGTGGAGACAAGAGGGAAGGAGGCAAGCTCAAGGAGATAGCAGCAAACAGAGAAAGTAAACTTCTTTCCCTTTCGTGTTCAGTCCTAGCAAGACTT